AGCTAGGGGAGGGGTGTAGGTGGTAAGCTAGGGGAGGGGTGTAGGTGGTACAGCGAGGGGAGGGGTGGATGTGGTAAGCCTAGGGCAGGGTGTAGTTAGTAAGCTAGGAGGGTGTCTCGGGAAGATAGGAGGGTAGCGGGGTAAGTAGGGGGGGTGTAGGTGGCGTAAGATAGGGAGGGTGTAGGTGGCTTAAGCTTAGGGAGGGTGGTAGCGTGTAAGCTAGGGAGGGGGGTAGGTTGGTAAGCTAGGTGCAGCGGGGTTAGGTGACGTAAGCTAGTGGAGGGGTGTAGGTAGTAAGCTAGGAGGGGGTAGGTGGTAAGCTAGAGGAGGGGGGGGCGGGGACTGGGTCAGGTGCTAAGATAGGGGAAGGGTGTAGTGGTAGCCTAGGGGAGGGGTGTCAGGTGAAGATAGGAGAGGCGTGTATGTTAAGCTAGGGGAGGGGTGCCTAGCTGGTAAGCTAGGAAACGGGGGCGTGCCTGCGGGTGCGGAGACTCATGACACCCAAACTGCACCAATAGGCCTGCTACCACATAATCAGAACAGAGGAACCATACGCATATATATAATAATCAGGGAGGAGCCATACCCATCGATAGGTAAATCAGGGGGCATAGCCCCATCAATCAATAGAAATTAGGCGCGAGATGATACCCATTGATAACTAACATCATGGGGAGTCTACCCTATTGATAGTAAATCAGGGGCACACCCATCGATAATAAATCATGGGATCATACCCTTCGGACTATACACCTACATGATAATCAATTTGGGGATCATCCCCACACCGATAGTGATTCAAGGGCCATGCCCTCATTGTGGATAAATTTTGACAAGGCTTTACTTCTGCCTAGTTCTATAGCACCAACGACACTCCAACAAATTTTCAGAATTTAATACATTTTTTTTTGCAATTACATGTTGTTAAGTTCGATGGACTCCATTTACTGGGCGAAATTTCAGTTTGCAGGGAGCGTGGGCACACAATACAGCAGTGAAAATTCGCAGACTCGCTTTTAGAAAAGGTTAATTTACGCACAGCCGATTATTATAATCAGAGGCAGCCAACAATTGCAAGCTCTGATTAAACTTATGATTCATGGAAACCAACGCCCCCTACGGTGTAATCGCCAACAGTTTCATTACGTGGCGCCCTCTGCAGTTAAATCGACAATAGATTCATTACGTGGTGCCCCCTACAGTTAAATCGCCCAGAGGTTCATTACGTGGCGCCCCCAGGGTGCAATCTAGCGCCATGCTTACCCATGAGTGCACCCGAAAAAACGACGAATGATACAATAAAAGCACACGGCGCAACCACAGACAGACAAGCACCAGCGGAGGTGCGAACGACGCGAGGCGGCGGCGGCCATTCAAACGATGGCATCTCACGCCATCTCGCTCCTCCGTCGACTGCATTACAGATCCACATACGAGGCACGCGGGGGGCAAGAGAGAAGGTACGTACAACGTAAAAAGCAAAAGAATTGAGATCCTCCATTGGGAACCATCGAGTTGACACAACCGTTCTGAAAGTGATCGCGTCTCGATTCCCGAATCGCATGCAAAATATCAACAAACGAAAGAGAAAATAGAACATTAGAAAACGCTGCACGAAAATGAACGAACGAACGAACAAACGAACGAGGGAACAAACGAAGGAAAGCAGAAATAGAAAAAAACGTGATTACAAAACAAATCGCAGAGGTGCATGCGCTCGCATCAAGTAAACACTCCTGAGTAAAAAAAATCTCGGTCCACAAAAAATGAGTCTCTTCCTATGAGCGAAAATGGAACCAAAACGAAATAGATGTCTTGCACACCTCGCGAAGAAGGCTCCAACTACGCACGCGCCGGCAAAAAAATGGAGGAAATTGCGGCGCGGATGTAAAATCAACGTGAAATTAACGCGAGAGTGTAATCCATCTGATGACAAGCGACTACAGTGCAAAGAACTGAAACGAAAATTTTCGCCGGTATTAACAACGGAAATTAGGCAATTAAGGGCTGGAGAAACCAGTGCGGGAAGGAGTGAGCGTGCAAGCATGCGCGCACACGCACGCGCGCACACGCATGCACGCACGCGCACACGCATGCCAGCACAACCACGTGATCTGCCACGCAGTTGACAGACCAGCAAGACGGGCAAATTTAAACAGCACTCGCTGAAAACGCGAGTTCAGTTCTCTGCGACCCGCCACTAGGTGATGCCGTGTCTGTGGTTGCCACGACAACGAGCAGAAAACGAACGTCACGTACAGGATTCCTCCTCACCTTCCTTCGTGCGTGGATGCTGGCCGTTGTTCGTCTGCAACGAGACAAACAGGGAGCAGGTCAGCACCTCCCGCTGTTAGAAAAACTAAACAACAAACAACGTGAGTGACACAAGTGCAAGCGGTTCATATGCATCACAACGTTTTAGTGGCAGCCATCTTAGTGCTGGTGGCAGCCATCTCAGTGCTGGTGGCAGCCATCTTAGTGCTGGTGGCAGCCATCTTAGTGCTGGTGGCAGCCATCTCAGTGCTGGTGGCAGCCATCTTAGTGCTGGCAGTGGTCTTAGTGCTGGTGGCAGCCATCTCAGTGCTGGTGGCAGCCATCTCAGTGTTGGCAGTGGCCATCTTGCTGCGGGCAGCCATCTTACACCGCGAAAGCGGCCTTACTAATGGCGGCCATATTACTGCAGGCAGCCATCTTACTGCAGGCAGCCACCTCACCGGTGGTGGCCATCTTACCTTATCGGACCTTGGCGGCCTGGCCTCAGCCCTGTCATCGTAATACTCGCGCTTCTGCCCCAGCAGTTGGTCCGTCTCTGCGTCCGTGCCCGAGTCTGCAACGATGAAAGCACCACCGCCGCGGGTCGTATAACATACCAAATCACACACACACACACACACATACACCACACATACACCTCCCCCCCCCCCACACACACATCACACGCACGCAGCACGCACCGCACGTCACGCACGCACAACACACACACACACACACACGCACGCACACTGCCACACCGTGGCGCCGACGTCGCTGCTGCGTCGAGCCAAAAACAAAAGAGCGCGCGAGGCAAACAAAGCGGGCATGCTCGATCTACGAAATCAACCGAGGCGTGATAATAAGCATTCTCGCGACGCGCGCGAAACACTACGCGAGGCATTCCTGAAAGATAGAAAAGAAACGAGACAAAATGAAACCGAGGATAACAAACGAAACGCCACGGCTGTCAGCAGTCTATACAATAACACCTGCAAAGAAAATGCGATGCAATCGATTAAAAATAATATCCGTTGCTAACCCTACGCACAAGACAGGACGACAATGACGACAAAACGACAAACGCATACTGCAAAAGTCCGACAACATTAGGAATGCTCAACAAAAGAACACTACGAACAACGACGCAGACCTCTTGAGCCAAAATTCTACTGTAAAGAAATATCTAAAACTGACTGCCAATAACAGTACAACATGGATCATTCACCTTAAAAACACAAAACCGATTAAAGAGCCTTTCAATTTTAACGTTTTAAAACAATTTTTCTCTCGACCTTTCTCAAAAATTTGTCGAACATTTGCGACTTCTGTCAGCAAGCGTCGTGACATTGCTGACATTGTTGGCATGTGTTTATGAAGACACGCGCACCCTCTGTCAGGTTATTTCTAAGTAATCGATAAAAATCTGAATTGGTCCTTTCAGAGAAAAATCATCAGTGAATTTAATTGAACTCACAGGTATAATTACCAATATAATTAATATTCAGATGTGCCTACCAAAGTCCTATCGCTTCTTATGGTCAAACCTTGTGAAACCCCACGTTTCACAACAACCAACACGTTTTACACAAACAGATCACTATAAATTATCAAATTGGTCTATCGAGTGTAAAGAACCGCGTTTGTAATAAAAACGGCTTTTTTAGTAACTTTTTAAATAACAGATCAGCATCTTTTGTAAGCACTCGCAACGTTTGTAAAATAAATTCTGCCAGCGTTTTTTAATGAAATCAATTCTATCACAATTTATAACGTTTACGTGACAAGATGTTCTCAGAAATGCGGATTTTCAATAAAAAAAAGGTGTGAAAAAGCAGTTTTTTTTATGAAAAACATGTACTAAACCCTGAACATGACATTTTCCTAAACCGACCCTTGCATCTCAGCAGCACATGCACAGCCCACCATGTCAGATCGGCGTTGAGACAGTGTCTCAAAAATGAGACATATCTCGATTGATACAAGAGGCAATTACTTTTGAACTATTTAATCATTTTTATTAATTAATCATTGACTGCCTTGATCGATTACCGATCTAGGATGTGAATGCGGCGTGCAAGGAGAGTGCTATACTAACTGAATCTACCAAGGTGTAGCATCTAAATCTACGATCCAATGCTAAACAAACTATCCAAATAACTACTGACGTATGCGTGACACGCACGCGCGCACACACGCGCACACAGGCGCGCACACACAGGCGCGCACACACACGCACACACACACATACTGACATGCCAAATTCTCTGCCGATGACGACGCATGCGTGATAATAATGATAATAATAGTAATAATAATAATGATAATAATAGTTATAACAATAATGATGAAATCATAGGTCATTGATTCTAATTCTATTATTATTACAATTCACTGAAAACAAGAATATGATCATTTGTTAGTCGCAAGAACACCACTACACGCAAACACTCGATATGTAAGTAAAGAAAAGTGGAAATGAGGAAAAAGTAAAATGAGAACAGAACACGCGCACGCGTTTGTTTTCACTAATTCGTTATAATGTGTGCATGGCCAAAATGTAGAATTTGCGTCGCAGTAACCTGCAATCCTCCTCTCTCCTTCGCTCTCTCTTTCTCACTCTCACCCTCTCTCTCTCTCTCATCCTCTCTCTCTCTCGCCCTCTCTCTCACCCTCTCTCTCTCTCTCTCTCTCTCTCTCTCTCTCTCTC